CTCAGTTAGAATATACATGGAAGACATTTATCAATTATAAAACAAGATATCATTGGGTGGTCGTTCTTAGCTGTTAGAGTTTACTACATAAAGAGCTGGCGTTAGCCTGCTGGATATCCAGGGCAGAGGCATGGCCGTTACATGCGTTCCATTGCTTTCACTGCTACGTTATTTACGCTATACAAACAATAGAATGCTCATTGAAAGTTGTTGTTTTTTGCAGCCATAATAATAATATTTTTCAGTGTAGACAAGAAATATTAGGTGATTATCTGTAGCAGTATGGAGTAAATATACTGAGCAAGTTCTGGTTTGTACAAGGTTTTATATTATTAAGATCTACGGAGGTGTTGCTAGAAAAATCTACGAGTTTGTCATGTTTTATGTCCTAAACAAATCTACGAGTTTGTCATGCTTTATGTCCTAAACAAATCTATATTGTCGTTGTTATGTGATTTTCATTTATACGAGATTTGTACACGTGGTAATAACATACAAAATCGGTAGCCCAAACAGAGATAAGATGTTAATATATATATTTTACTTTAAGTGGAACGATGATCAAAACTTCAAACAAAGAAACATTGAAAATGTTGATTAAGTAAACAGAAATTATACCAGAAGTTATTATAGACAAATATGATGCCTGTAGCCCATTACTGAGCTAGTTAAAAAGTTGCAACAAAATGATCATTGTTACTAATTTTCTTCAAGGCATAACTGTTAATTCAGGTGAGGTAAAAGCAAACGTATAAATGATTTAAAAGCGAACTTTCCGTGCTTTCGCGGAGACAAAGTCCTCAAATGTTTTTAGTGATATTTCATCTAAGCCATTCGGATGATATTGTTGTACGCATGTAGTCCTTCACTAGATTGTGGCGTCATAGTTATAGGTACAGTCAAAAGGACGCGTAATGCAAAGTTAATGTTTCGATACAGATTCAACAACTTTTCAGTGTAGCAAATTGGACACAACAGCTGGTAAAGCATTCACAGCTTAGCGAATCGCAAGTCATCACAGCCAATGTTACCCATGTTTAGAGTCAAATGTTTTCACCTTTCACATAAGGTGTTGTTAACTATGGTCTTGCTCATTTCTCTAGTACTGAAAAGAAAGCCAAGGAAGCTGTAGAAATCTCAATTTGAGATAATCCTTCATTTAGATTAGTTGCGATTCCATCAACTAGCGGAAGGAAGGAAGAAATATTGCTTAAACCTCTCTTCTGGAGTTTGGCAACACCGTATAGACGTTCATAATCAAATATCACTTTCTTACTTCTGCTTCTCTAATCTGGAAATGTTATCTCGATGTTCATCTGGTTTGTGATCTTCCGTGTCGAAAATGTGAACTGATGCAAACCCGCCTTATCTATGACCTTGTCAGAAATTTAAGCATTGCGTGCATTCCATTTTTAAAGTTGTACACTGCTATATTGATTCTCTGAAGCCGTTTGCTTACGCGATTGATGTGAAACAAAATATCGTGCAATACTAAAAGACTCACTAGGAAGTGCCCTGAAAAGATCTCTCGTGCAAAGCTCTATACTTCGATGTAGTCGCTCTGTCCTTTTTTTCTGAGTTGCGTGATCTACCGGTGCTTCGAGGGCAGCTTGCAGTTCACCGAGTTGCGTGATATACCAATCTTCGAGGCCACCATGCACACTTTACTGAATTGATGTCGAAGCAGTTTAATGCTTTGTATGCGGTATTTCTTGCGAGTCTCTGACGGTTGTTTGACAGTAAGTTCGGTAACACGTTGTTTTAGTATGGATCAGCGCCGGGTAGAACTGAAGATGACAAAAAGACGAGGTACAACCCCCAAAATGTTACAGACAACACAGATGATTTAGCAGCACTCAGTACAGCCAAATTTAGGCTGTGAATATACAAGATATAAACAGTGCTTTTTTGTTAATGTCCCAAACTCTGCTGCACACACTACCTTTTACCCTTCGTATTGCTTCCACTGTCATACCTCTGTCTTCTGCAGTCATCAATATTGGTTTTTAAATTCTTCTTATGGTCCAAAAAGGTGACGCATAGAGCCTCACCATTAGTTGCCCAAACAGTAAGAAATCCAGTAAAAATGTTCTGAAAATGACTCGTCACCCATTAATTCACAGTTAACGATGGGCAGTTGACCAGTGTGGCTGACGTCTGTTGTGTTGTCTACGATCATACCAAAATACTTGGTTTGATTAACCTTTTAGAAAATAGCCTGAATGATGTACTTTCCCATTCAGATAATTAATTCGTTCTAAATATCTTTAATGAGATAATGATCTATAATTTACCTTTTGTCGGTTCGTCTCAGGTGTTCGGTCATTATGGGGTCAAACTTTGCGACTAGTTCAACTTTATGGGGAAATTTCCATTGTTAGGATCATGAAGCCCTTTTGTTGTTCCATGAAAGGCCAAATTAAGTTCTTCCAAACGACAAACTACGCAAATGAGTCCTGTAAGAATAGATATCCAGTAATGATGTTTTGGTGAAACATCGCTCCGTGTTAACACTATGTATAGTTTTTCTTTTTTTGCTTCTGATCCATACTCTCGGATTCCACCATGGCTCCATGTTTTACACATGTGCTGGCGAGCATTCATGCTCTTTCAGACTAAAAGGAGTGCCCGGCATGGCCAGGTGGATAAGGTGCTCGACTCACAATCTGAGGGTCGCGGGTTCGAATCCGCATCCCACCAAACATGCTCGCCCTTTCAGCCGTGGGGGCGTTATAATGTGACGGTCAATCCCACTATTCGTTGGTAAAAGAGTAGCCCAAGAGTTGGCGGTGGGTGGTGATGACTAGCTGCCTTCCCTCTAGTCTTACACTGCTAAATTAGGGACGGCTAGCGTAGATAGCCCTCGTGTAGCTTTGCGCGAAATTCCAAAAACAAACAGACTAAAAGGAAGGTGCTTCCACTCGTTGAAGTCGCTCCTCGAAATAGCATTATTACGTTTTCCAAAAAGAATACAGCTAAAACAAAACACTTTATATGAAGACTCAGAATACACAAGCTACGATCGGCGAACATATTTGAGGTGAATATATAATAGTTTTTCGTAAAGCCTCTAGGAACTTCATTATTTTGCAGAAATTCAATATCCATTGTTTGTTTGGGATCTCACTCTTGACAAATCCACATCTTTGCTTGTCATTTATATTTTCTGGACACTTGTATTGTCAGATAATATTTGAATTAATCTTACCTCTGTGGTCTCACTTTGTAATCCAGCGTCATCTGATTCGGCCTGCACATTATCCCTGGTTTTTGTTGGTGTTTTTTTAAAAGATCAAGAGCCTCCGAAGTCGAAACCGATATCTTGGCCGATAATACACTTTAATCAATAGAATTGGAGCATATGGCATTTTGTCTCTTGTGATGTAAAGATTTTTGTTAATCCCAAGTATTTATTTTGTTTTCTGTGAATCCGGTGTTTTTTTATCTCTAGCGAGATGCAGTTTAAAAAAAATCGTTAATAAACAAAGTGTCAGGATGCACGATTCATTTTTTAACAGAACATAAACTGGATGTTATGAATAAACTACAAATTCAGTTTTTCTCACATTCAGTTGTGTTCTTTCGAGTCTATTGCTCTTTCTCTCCAGTGCAACCCAATCGATTATTACTTGATAGTATGGGCATAATTAAAAAGGAATGATTGTGCCGTTTTTGGACACAAACATCATTATTAAAACGAATTTTCTTATTGAATTTATTTGTGGTTATGACCAGGGGTGAAACTCTGCCGGTACTTATTTTTTAAGGCAGTACTAGTACCGGGACTTATTTTTGCTGCTTTGTCGTTGTTTATATTTAATCGTAGATTTTTTTTTATTTTTCAAAATTAGGTCCACTTCACCCAGCTGATTACCTCAACTTTTTTTTTTTGGACTTTCACCCCTGGTTATGACGTTATTTAGCCAACCATGGCATAAGCAATTGCTTTAGCTTCTCATCCCCTAAAACCATCACTGACTACATATAATGTGCCGATAATTTAGTAACGTGACTAAATGAAATGCTGATTTTCTGCTCTTTAACTGTTTAATGTTAACATGTATATTATTCACTAGTAAAAAAAATAAATAAATAGGAAATGAAAACATCTCTGTACCAACATGTTCCAAAGATTTGTTTGTTTAGAATTAAGCACAAAGCTACAGAATGGGCTATCTGTGCTCTGCCCACCACGGGTATCGAAACCCGGTTTCTAGCGTTGTAAGTCCACAGACATACCGCTGTGCCACTGGGGGGCTGTTCCAAAGAAGTTGGATGTTTATACTTTGTTCATTTTTTTGTATGTGTAATTTCGATAAACGTTATTTACAGTAAATGAGAACACGTAAAACTTGTTTTCACATGTAAATAGCTGTAATAGACAAATATCTGCAATAAAAACGAAAACATTATCAGGAGTACATCAACATTTACGTTCCACTAGTTAGCATGCTAATTTTCCTGTGCCTGAATAAATCGCTTTTCACCCGGGTTGTTATATGCGTGCCCCCCAGCGGCACAGCGGTAAGTCTATGGACTTACAACGCTAGAAACCGGGTTTCGATGCCCGTGGTGGGCAGAGCACAGATAGCCCATTGTGTAGCTTTGTGCTTAACTACAAAACAAACAAGTTATGTGCGTAAATAGTCAGGTGGATGAGTGTCGTAATGAACCTCTAAGCAGAAATGAACAAGGGGTAAACCTATGTGTGTGATCGTGGCAACACTAATAATGAAAAACCGCAATATTCGAAGGGTGGTCACTAAACAAGTCGTGAGTGTACATACTGTAGTGAATTTAACTTTTTTTTTCAGTTTATGATCACTGTGTTTTATAATTACGAAGAACTCTTATTTATTTTTAAACATGTAATCTGACAAGTTCTTTAAAAGAAAAGACGTTAGATTGTACTGCCATCTAGTGATAATTAAATATAAATACCTAACTTCTTTGTTTGTCTTGTGTCTTATACCATATTATTTATTTCTACAATTCTTCAGCAAGGTGAAATGTCCAGAGTGTCAATTAGATTGGTGTTTTAGCTGCCATGCCCCATGGCACGTTGACTTAACATGTAAAGAATACATGAAAGGAGATCGACTTGTTAAATCGTGGGCTAGAAAAACTACTCATGGTCAATTCAACGCCCAGCGTTGCCCAAAATGTAAGGTAAGGTCAACATTATTTTATAGAATAAGGCTATTTAACGTTCTGAATTATATTGATTTTTTACCCAGTATAATTTAATAAATTTTCTTTCTTTTAGAATTATGGAAAAGTATGTTCCTATCGGACTGTTTACATAAATGTATTTAGTTTAGTAGTAGTAGTTGACCAGTTTTTAATGTAAAGGATAAAAGTAATAACTGTACATTGATATAGTTTGTCATTGTCAAACCAAGGGGAATATATTATTCCTTTCAGTTTCAATTGCTTTCTCATGATTTGTGTAAATGATAACCCTTGAACAAAATGACACACAATTATGTCAAAGTATGCTCTGCCCAGAAAAAGATGTGGGCTTTTTTCCTCTATACAGCCTAGTACCTGAAAACTCCTGCTTCAACTAATGTTTGCAACCTATTATTATTAGTTTAAACATATGTTTTACTGCTTTAAATATTCTTCTGGGTTAAACATTTGTATTTTCTGTGACAATAATTTTGTTTTAATTGCATTTTAAATGTAAAGACATATTGATACTTGCACACCCTTGATCATTCTCTAATTGTTATTTATAAACTCTTCTGAAATGTCCTCTTTTTTTTTTCTTCTTCAACATATTTGTAACTGTTTTTACCATATATTAATATTAAATTGATGAATCTCCATTTTAACATTAAATCTGTTGTATATGACATTTATCTCAAATTGCAATGTATTTACCTGTAACTATATAATGTATTCTGTGTCTGTGTAATTGCTTGTATTAATTGAGTTAACTTTATTCAAAAATCTTTTTAAATTTATTTAATAGAATATATATATTAAAGGTGCCAGATTCTGTTTAATTTATCAAACGTTTAAACTTTGAAACAAAATTGTCTAAATGTGATTATACCAAATTTAAAAAAATTATAATAACGTGTTATTACCTGTTTTTAAACAAATAGCTTTTTAAAGGTTACACATTTATATCTATAAATAATTGAATGGAAACAGCGAAGCTGTATGAAAAAATATTTGCATCAGGGTCTGATAATGGCCTGTTTTAATTATAGGGTGAGTACTAATAACATTATTAGAGAAATTTTATTTGTACAGTAATTGTTTGTTAATACAGCTTTCTGTAAACTGGCTTAACAAAATATGTTAACTTGTTGAATCTAGTATCCTTGGTTGCCTGTCTGTTGCAAGCAACTGAATGATCATCTGTGTTTTGTTTTTAAACCATGTTTTTTCACACTTCCTAACACTACTAGTATACCTTTGTGTAGTTGTTTGTCCGAAACATAAATTCTCCACACTAGATCCAGCAGAACCAGAAGTAGAAGCAGACGTGATATATATAGGGTACTTTTATTTCAGTATGATTTAACATTGTAGAGCATAGCCTACTTTTTACCATTTATTTTTCCTTTTAATCAAAATATGCCCAGATAAGGCTTCTCTTATTTCACCTTCCCGAAGATGACATTGCTATTCACATGAGCAAAACTGTGTTAGACACTGGGAGGTAAATATCCAGTGTGCCGCTGATAATGATGCCATGTGACAAATGTAGGAAGTAAAGAAAGAAAGAAAAAACACTTGAGTAGCAATTATTTGCAGATACTCGTTTTCTTAATATTTGATTTGCATATTTTTATATGAAGTTTTAAACAAATAAGCAAAATAAAAAAAATTGAATTTTGTTAACATTTAAACAAGTAAGTTATAAATGATTGACACCCTTAATATATGGTATTATATTATATAATATATTTATTATATAACTTCCTGAAACAAGTTCGTATCCTTAGTGATGTAAAATACAAAATATTACTTCCATTAATTAAAAACTTAAGAAAGAAAAGGGACTGAAATGTTGATTGTAATTTTTATAGATCTATATCCAGAGGTCAAGTGGGTGTGATCATATGCACTGTAGTCGTTGTAAAACAGATTTTTGCTATAGATGTGGTGAGCGTTTCCGAGGACTCAAATTTTTTGGAGATCACTATAGCAAACTGAGTGTATTTGGCTGTAAATACCGATACAAGTTGGACAAACCTGTGGAAAGAAAGCTAGTGCGTGGTGCTATTTTTGGTGAGTGATAATTTTATAGAGACTTGAAATTCATCCTAAAATGAAATATGCTTACCTGTATACATTATTTTTATCCTTGTAAACTTTATCCATTTTTGAAACTGTAGAAAGATGTCCTTCTACAATAGCCTGTTGAAAGTTGTATAATTATGAACCCATATTTTTTTAGTGTTATATGGTACATCACCATTTCACAACAGCTGGTGGCATGATGACCATTATGAAACCATATTTTTTAGTGTTATATGGTACATCACCATTTCACAACAGCTGGTGGCATGATGACCATTATGAAGCCATATTTTTTAGTGTGATATGGTACATCACCATTTCACAACAGCTGGTGGCATGATGACCATTATGAAGCCATATTTTTTTAGTGTGATATGGTACATCACCATTTCACAACAGCTGGTGGCATGATGACGATTATGAAGCCATATT